AAAAGGCCCAGGAGAACATACATTACCCAGGAAGAGAAGGAAATGCTAGACCACAAGCCTGTGAAGGGCAGGCTAACCTTATTGCTATGTGCCAATGTGAGTGGTGACCTCAAGATAAAGCCTCTGTTGGTTTATCACTCTGAGACCCCTAGAGTGTTCAGAAAATACAAAGCCATGAAGGCTAGGCTAAGGGGTTATGTGGCAATCTAACACAAAAGCCTGGCTAGCAAGAGTACTTTTTCTTGAGTAGATCAAGGCAGCTTTCTGTCCTACTGTTAAATACATAGAGGACAAACATTTACCACCCAAGGCTTTCCTCATCATGGACAATGCTCCTAATCACTCACAAGATTTGGAAAAATTGGCTGAAGAATTACCATGGCTCTCAGTTGAGTTCCTCCCACCTAATACAACTGCTCTACTGCAGCCCATGGATCAACAGGTTATAGCTAACTTTAAGAAGCTGTACACCAAGGAACTGTTCCTGAAATGCTTCTAGATGGTCTCAGATACAGATTCAACCCTTAAAGAGTTCTGGAACATTGCAACATCCTTTTCTGTGTGCAGTTAATTGAGAGATTCTGGGCCAGTGTTTCTGTAAGGACACCGAGATCTGCCTGGAAGAAAGTGTGTCCTAAAATCATATAGTATAGGAGAGAGACTTTGAAGGCTGTGTAGTGGAGCCGGAGGCTTCAGTTGACTCTGTGGCTGATGACATTGGCACTGTGGCAGAGTTTATAGGCTTGCAGGTGGTAGACAGTGGTGATGTTGAGGAAATGGTGGAGGAACACTCCAAGGAAGTGTCTGCAGAGGAACTTCAGCAACTTCTGGCTGAGCAACAGAGAATGGCAGCTGGGGAACTTTCTGAAGAGGAGGGGAGTATCAACAATCAGTGCAGCAAAGTTCTACTTCTGAAATAAAGGAAATCCTGAAGAAATGGACAGAGCTACAAACCTTTGTAGAGAAGACTCTCACAGAGAAAAGGCCAGTCGTTGGATTTACCTGCTTAATGACAGTGTCAGGTCATACCACAGAACAGTGTTAAAGACAGAGACAGACAACCTGAGACTAGTTTTTCATTCTGAAGTGGTTGAGACCTGGTCGGCTACAGACCCTCCCAAGGAGAGAAAGGACACCAGCGAGCCAGATTCCTCATGTTCTTATGGAAGGGGACGCTCCGTCCAAACAATAACCACCTTCTATTTCATCCTCCCTTCCTTCAACCCCAAGATGTAAATTTGAATGGTGAGTACAGTATAAATAGTTGTTTCTGGAAAAAAGGTACATTTTACAACTTTTTAGTGAATATAATAGGAAAATTATTGATGTTTCTGGTAAATTGTACATACTATACAACCCCCTTTTGTTATGAAAATGTTAAGGGGTGCTTTGGGAGGTTCAGAATGCATTGTGGGTGGTAGATATTGTGAAATGAGAAGAAATTGTTCAAAAGGAAAAAAGATCTAGGATTGGTGAAAAGGGAAAGGATAGTAGGGAAAAAATGCAAGTCAGTTATATTGTTAGTGTCTCTTAATTCATTAAAAAAGTTTTGTGCTAATATCTATTGGAGAAATTTTTATGCCAATATCTTGTACTGAGCAACTACTTTAAAGATAACAGTATGTAATATATTAACTGCTGTTACTCTCCTATGATTTTATTATGAATTTTTGTTTTACTTTTTTTATTAAAAAAGTGTATTATGGGTATTTCCATTATTTCTTATGGGAAAAATAGTCTTGACTTACAACCAATGTGAGCTACACCCAGCCCTCATGAACGAATTGAGTTATAAGTCAAGGGTCCACTGTATAAAGATTGAACTGTTACATCCATTGCCACTCCATAGACATAACCAGTACTAACATGTTGGCGATATTTCCTTTCCCATTTCCTTTTTCTTTTTGTTTCCTTTTCCCATTTTCTTTTCTTTTTTCTTTCTCTTTCTCTCCCACCTTGTACTTTCTTTCTTGTTAAAAATAAAATGTATAGGGCTGAATCCCTAGTTCAAAAGTGTATTGTATCACATTTTCTGGGATTGGTGAACAGAAATTTTCTTCTTTTATTTCTGTCCTTATTTTTTTGATTGCTAGAGTTATGCTTGAATACATCTGTGTTGTAAGAGTTAAGCAAGTTTGTTTTTTTTTTTAAAAAGTAGAGTATATTATTTGTATGTAAGTACAGTTATGTGATTTGTCTTTTTCACTTCATGATAGTCTGATGATAGATTTTCTGTGTACTCCGTAATGATAAACTGATTGGGTCAGTGTTGTTATTTTAACATTATTTTACATTGTATTTTTAAAGAAAAAGTGAATGTACTATTGCAAAAACTTAAGCAGTGAAGTGAGACAAAGTCGTTCATTCCATGCCGTCCTACTTCATTCACCAGAGGTGATTTCTGTTACTCATATGGTGTACACTTGTGATCTACGCTTCCCTTTTTCCCCGTCTTTTAGTGAGAACCGTGGAAAGGGACTGAATCCAGGGCCTTGTTTATGCTACCCAGGGGCTCTGCCACTGAACTATATCCCTATCCTGTTTGAAAAATATTTCAGACAAGGTATTGCTAAATTGCCTAGGCTGGAATTGTATTTGCAATTTTCTTGCCTCCTGAGTAGCTGAGATTCCAAGCATATGCCACCAAAGTTAGTAGGCCTCTTGTTTCTTAAAATGTATTTATATATATCCATATACACACAGATACATCTGTGGCTTTGTTAAGTGGTTTTTAAGATTACCTCAATTTTCCTGCAACTTGATTTTTTCATAGTATAAAGGCATTTCCTTGTTAGTATGTAAGCATCTACAGCTCTTTTATGTTCTGTAATTGGATTAGCCTTAGTTTATGTTATCATTGTTAGTGGTAAACATTTATAGTTTCCATTATTTGATTATCATATTACTGTAAAAACTTGTGTATATTCATCTTTGTGTACCTTCTCAAATGTTCCCCATGAGGGTGTACATTTTAAATTTCAGTGAAAACTGCCAAGTATCCTCTAAAGTATACTGATGTCTTACTTTTAGTAATTTTCTCTACTTTGTTCTATTGGGCATTGTCAGTCCTTAAGTGTTTTTTTGTTCTCATAAATGATGTTATTATTTATGTATTTTTGACCTTTTATTGTTTGGACTTTTACTGTCTTTTTATTTTAGATTACTTTCTTTTATTGATTTATAAGAGATCTGTTTTTTTAAAAAGTAAGTCATTTTTATATGTAGCAAATATTTCTGCTCATCTCTTTCTTGTCTTTTAACTTTATGATATATTTCATGACATAAAAATACTCTTCATATCTTCTTGGATTTTGTTAGATGCATAAGAAAAAAGGTTACCTTCCCTTAAGATGTATACACATACTTTACAAATTATAGACTGGGCAGATAATCAAATTTTATTGATCCAAGGAGACTGGTAAATTTTTTAAATATATTTCTTACTGATTGAGAATACTGCCTTTATTATAAATTAAATTCTCTGTTGACTTAATTTGGCTGCTTTGTTGCCAAAATCATTCTTTTCTGGAGACAAGGTCTTGCTATGTAGTTCAGGCTTGCTTTGAGCTCACTGTATAGCCCATCCTGGCCTTGAACTCATAGTGACCCTCCTGCCTCAGCCTCCCAAGTGCTGGGATTACAGGCATGAAAATCATATTTTTAAATGACTAGCTCTATAAAAATTTTGCTATGTGAGTGGGAATATACTTCTTCAGGTTAGCGTTTCTCAGAGAAATCTTTGTTTCCTCTCATTTTCTTCATCTAGCAATATTTTATATATATTATACTGTACAGTGTCACACATTCCTGTTGGTGTTTTGATAGTTATCATACTAAATTTTAGATTCATTTTGGAGCAGATGCAATATTTTAAGTACTATGTCTTTTTTGTCCAGAAACATGTTCTGCCTCTACTTTAATTCAGATTTTCTGTGGCCTTCAAATAGGTTTTATGGATTTCAACCTAAAGGTCGTATATATTTTGGGTTTCTCTGAATATTTTATCGAATGTGTTGCTGTTGTGATTGAAATTAAATATTTTTCTAGTCATTCATTACCTTTGTATAGAGGGTTTGTTTTTTATCTTTTAGCCATTGAACTGTGTGTGTCAAAACCTATTCATTCTAATAGTTTTTTGGTAATAGAGTGGTAGTTGATTCTCTTTGATGCTCTAGAACAGCACTGTCCAACAGAAATTTAAGTCACATATGTAATCTCCAGTAAACATTCCTGTACCAGCATCTGTGTATCCTTGTTCAAGTGTTCCCTATGAGGGTGTGCAATCTGTTAGTACCATATTAAAGAAAAAGAAACAAGTGAAAATAATATTAATGATAAACTTTAACCCAGTATGTCCAAAATGCTATCATTTCAACATGTAAACAGTGAAATATTAGTAAATATTTTACATTTTTTTGTATTGTTTTCAGTAATCATTGTATATTTTATACTTACACCACAATGCAATTTAGACTACATTTCAAGTACTCAAGCTACGGGTGGCTATTGGCTACTGTATTGACATGACTGTATTTGCCTGAAAATAATGAATATTTTTCCTAACCCTGTAAAATTATTTTTTTCCTTCTCATAATGTTTTTACTAGGAGAACCAGTAGTATGGTGCTGATGTTGATGATATTAATGGGAATACTTGACTACTGTGGATTGGTGTAAAAGTTGTATATGGAATTTTCTTATAATTATGCATATGTTTTTGATATATAAGAAAAATTTGAAAAAATATATAAATTTAAATAGTGTCTAACTCTGAGAAGTAGAAGTAAAATTATAGGACTAGGAGCTGACAGTCTATAAAACATTTTATATTGCTTGGAAGATTAGAACAATTTTAAATAATGATATCATTTTCATTTCATAATCAAAAAAAGAAGTAAATTGTTAGTTCCAAATTTTAAACATAAAATGTATAGAATATTGTTCTGGTAGACGTTCAGCTTCCTGGTGGCAGCAATCCTAACTGTGTGTTCTCTTCCCAAGCTGGACTCTGGACTGTCTTCACACTAGGCGGTGTGGGCAGCAAAGCAGCTGCCTCCACAGAGCTTCCCTCTCCTCTCGCCAACCAGAGTCTCCTGCTTCTGCTGGTGTTGGCTAACCTGACAGATGCTCCAGACACACCAAATCCCTACAGACAGGCCATTATGTCCTTTAAGAACACGCAAGGTTTGTGATCCTTTCACTCTTTCTAACGAGAGCACTCTTCACTTTCAATTATATATTATCTGAAATTTTCAGAGATGAGTTCAATTTGTTGTTTACATATTGGTTACAAATGAGAAAAACAGATTTTCCTGTCACCAGTCTCAGGAAGATCAAGTAAATCTTAGAAAACTGCTATAGCTCTTAATATCCATTTAGAGTTACATTTTTTTTTCAGAGATAATCAAACATTAGAGATCAAAAGATAAGGACAGTGATTGATTCAAACTATTGCCTTTAGAGTCAGATTCACCTGCATTCATTTCCCAGATTTATTCCTTAAACACCAGTGACATTATCTGTAATGTAGGGATTGTAATCTCTGCTTCACACAGTTCTTGTAAGAAATGCATAAACTTTTACTGTAGTACGGGCTCAGCAAATGGTTGCTGTTATTACAAGAAACAATATAATGCAGAGGCTGCTCTGGGTTTTACTCAGGGCTGATCTAGGAAAAATTACTTAATCTCTCTAAATCTCTACTTAATCCTTTGTAAAACTGGTTAGAATGACATGATTGTTGCACAGATTAAATAAATAAAGGATAATAGATGTAAGGCAGCCCATGTAATAATGGCTGGTGCACAGCACTTATTATCTAGTAATGCAGAGGTGTTGTGGATACACACACACCACACACATTCACCAGTGTAGTCAAGTATAGTGCAGGCGGTGAAAATGCTGTTTTGCTTCCATTATGAAGTATAGAGCGTCCAGAATCTTTTTTCAGTAGGTCTCATGTAGATTCTCTAATATTTATATACTCATAGTGCATTACAACACTTCTTTTTGCCATCCCTTGCAAAAATATAAAGTCAACCTCACAAATTTTTGTTCGTGTCATAATGTTAAGATTGAAAAAAATAACCTGTATTTCAAATGTAGAAGGAAAAGTTAAGGTGCTGTGTAGCTGAATTGCAGGTATTTATAGATGCATTTCTCTTATAAACCCAAAGTGTGGAAGGAGGATCTTAGAAGCACAGGGCTGCCAGGGGTCATTTGTGTTGGGACATAGCTCTTTTCCATGAGGACAGCTTTTAGAAATGGTAAAGCAGATTAGTGTGGTTTTTATTTTTGTTTCTTGTTGGTGGATCTTTTATATTTTAAATCATTTAGAAAATTATTTGTGCTTATTTTTCAGAACACATGAAAATACTAGCTCTTTGTGCCATCATATTCAGTGTTTTATCTGTTATTATGACTTTTGAGTCAGTTGAACCTATGTATATCTGTTTTTTAACTTCTTAAGCTTTCTTGCTTTGATTTCTAAGCAAATACAATTAACTGTAAAAAAGGGGCTATGTTAGTTTTAGAATACAAGCATTTTCACAGTACTGGCTGTCATTTATGCTTTCCATCATCCTTATCTACCCTTTTTCTTAAAAAAAAGGTTTCTTAGAAAATGCAGATAATTAACTTTAAGTTTTCTTTTAAACAATAAACTGATGGAAATTTTCTGGTAGCTGTCTGAGGGTTAGTACGTTTTGTCCATTATGGGAGCGAATGTTGAACATATATAGTGATTTTGATGTTATTTTAAAAATAGCTAAATTATTTCTTGTTTTAGCCACTTTCTTCAGAAATAGACTAATAACATTGGTAAATAATTTAGCTTCAATTTATTTATTTGAAGTAAGTGAATTTAGCTTCAAGGCAACTGTGTTTTTTAGTTTTTGTTTTGTTTTTTGAAACAGAATTTTGCTATATAATTCATAGTGGTCTGGAACCTGCCTCAGCTTCCTGATTGCAGGGATTGAAACCATGCACCACCTTGCCCAGCAAGAAAGGTTTTAAAAGATCTTATCTTAGAATAGGATTTCTTGTTTTATGTAGAAACTATATATTTTTAAACTATATGTGTATTGTCCTTATCTTTATTTAGGACTGGTTATGTTTGTTTTGGTAACAAAGGTCTCAGTGTCTGGTAAAATTATATCTATTTGAGGGCTTGTGCCCCATAGCTCTATTTAAATGTATGATTTAGTTCTGCCTTATATAGAAAAATAGTAACAAACTATGGGACTTAGTTTTTTTCTTTTTTTTTTTTTGTTTTTTTTTTTGCAGGGGTGGTTTCTGGTACTGGGAATCGAACTCACAACCTTGCACTTGCCAGGCAGGCGCTGTGCTGCTGAGCTAAATCCTCAGCCCCAGCTTTTAGTTCTTAAGTTTAAAATAGAAATTGAAAATTTAACTAAAAAATGCAGAGATTGGCCAGGTGTGGTGGCGCACTCCTGTAATCTCAGTATTTGGGAGGCTGAGGCAGGAGGATCGTAGCAAGTTTGAGACCAGCCTGGACTACAAAGTGAGCTCAAGGCCAGCTTGAAACTGCATAGTGGGGCCTTGTTTCAAAAAGACAAAAAAGAAAAGAAAAGAAAAAGAAAAGAAAAGAAAGAAATGTAGGGATTTTATATAAAATTAATGTTGAGATATAAGCATTACTCTAATAATACTTTTATTATTTATATAAAAACAGTGCAGAAAATAATCATGTTGTTTTTAAAAATTTCATGCATGTTTTCTGTCTTCTAGATAGCAGTTCTTTCCCCTCGTCAATTCCACATGCCTTCCAGATTAACTTTAACAGCTTGTACACAGCCCTCTGTGAACAGCAGACATCTGACCAAGCAACGCTTCTCTTGTACACTCTGCTCCATCAGAATAGTAATGTCAGAACATATATGTTGGCTCGTACGGACATGGAGAATCTTGTAAGCATTATGCTGGACATGCTATGCTTTGTGTATTTTATAGAACTTTGAAGAATAATTGCTTTTTTTATTTTAAAGAGAAAAAAACAATAAAAACAATGGTACAGAGTTTCAAATCCAGGTAATAGGAAATTAACAATGGTTAATATATTGTGCATTGTTATCTTCAAGTAGTTAGTCAGATTACACGATATAGGCATGCAAGATTAATGAAACAAACCATTCCCTTCAGTGAACTAACACAAATTAATAACTATCGTAGCCATCTTATGTATATACATATATATATTTTTCTTTTCTCCTTTTCCCCCACCCAGTTTTTCTTTCCCTTTCACAACATTTATTGTATATTTTGGATCTTGTTTACTCCTTCAGTTTCTTACACTAGGGAGATAGTACAATGTTTACACATGTGAGTCTGGTTTGTTTCACTTAGGAGTATGGTCTCAAATTGCATCCATTTACCTATAAAAAGCCTTGAGTTTATCTTTCTTTATAGCTGAGTAATACTCCATTGTGTAAAAAATACCACATCTTTTTTTATCCATTCCTTGGTTGATGGGCACTTGGGCTGTTTCCAAGATTTGGCTATTACAAATTGTGCTGCTATAAACATGAGTGCACATATATTGGTGTAGTATGATGTTTTCATTTCTTCTGGGAAAATACCCAGAAGGGGAATAGCTGGGTTCAATGGGACCTCTAATCCTAGTTTTTTGAGGAATGTCTATACTGATTTCCACAGTGGTTGTATAGTCTATACTCCCACCAGGGTTTTCTTTTTTCCCCATAGCCCCACCAGCATTTGTTATTGGTTGACTTCTTGATGACAGCCATTCATTTTGGGGTGAGATGGAATCTCAGTGTTTTTTTAATTTGCATCTTTCAAATGAACAATGATGTTAAACATGTTTTTATATATTTATTTGCTGTTTGTCTTTCTTCATCTGAGAAGTATGTATTCATTTCAGGTGCCTATTTTTGGATTGGGTATTTGAATTTGGGGGGCCTGAACTTTTTCAGTTCTTTATAGGTTCTAGATTGAAGGTCTTTGTCTGAGGGACAGTTGGTTGAAATTATTTCCCAATCCATGGGTTTTCTTTTCACTCCGTTGGTAATTGCTTTTCATGTGCAAAAACTTTTCAATAAGATGAGATTCCAGCTGTTGATTCTTTGAAGTACTTCCCATGCGGTTTGGGTTTTGTTCATGAACTCTCTGCCTACCCCATGTCTTCAAGATTTCTACTTACTTTCTCTTCTAGTAGATGTAGTGTTTTTGTTTTAATATTTAGATCTTTGATCCATTTTGACTTTAGTGCATGGTTATAGGTATGGGTCTAGTTTTAGTCTTTGGCATGTGGGAAGCCAATTTTTCCAGCATCATTTATTAAAAAGGCTATCTTTCTTCCAGTGAACATGCTTGGCCCCTTTGTCAAAGATAAGGCGGCTGAGTGTGTTTGTAGTTGTGTCTGTATCTTCTAATTTGTTCCATTGATCCACAGGTCTATTTTTTTGCCAGTACCATACTGATTTTTTCATAGTAGCTTTATAGTATAATTTCAGGTCAGGGATTGTGATGCCTCTTACCTTGCGTTTGTTGCCCAGGATTGTCTTTGCTTTTGTAGGTCTTGAAGAATAATTTCTCTTCCCAAGAGAGCAAGTATATTGCCTGGTTGCTACACAAGTAGTGGTTGAGAGATTGGTGGGAAGATATCACTAGAAACAAGCACAGGTCTGTGTTTCTTCAGTGTAGCAGACAGCTCACAAGATGACCTCAGAGCAGAGCACAGTGGCATCCTCAGCTGACTGGACAGGCTCCCCCATCTTCAAGGTCATAAACAGCCACCCATTTCCCAGGATCAAGTCCTCTAAGAAGCACCCTCTGCAGTCCTTAAGGGAGTTTTATTCTTGTTCCCTTCCAGCTGCTAAGTGCTTACAGTAGTATAGTTTGCCCCAATTGCAGCATACTCATGATGAGAATGGCAGAAAGTAAAGGTGACTTTTTAATTCAGTTTTTGAAGTGTCCTGTTCTTCTGCCAGCCTAGACTCTAAGACTGTCTGAGTATAGTTCCTGGGCTGTTATGGTTATTTTAAGGTACTTTGCCAAATGTCCCTTAAATATATACTATCTTTTGTTACGTGAGTGAAATTGGTTCCACAGTTTTTGTTCGTAGACAGAGACTCACATAAACGATCATTGATTTCCATTATAACTAATGAGTGAACAGCAGTCTTTCCCTAAGAGGAGCAGAAAACTGCTTCACCAAGGCATGAAGTATGTATATATAGATAACCATGGACTATTAATGCATTCAGAAAAAGGTGAACATTCCTGAAATAGCCAGCAGCTGCTGAAAGCAGCAGAATGGCTCCTCTGTTTCATTTTTTACTGGTTGACAGAAGCTTCACCAGGCATATGGTAGTCAGCTTTTTAGTACTGAAATACTCTGTAAACACTGAAGAAACATAGCATAATAGAACTCACTGAGCATTTTGTACATAATAGCAACACTAATGACAAAAATTGTGGTGAAAGAACCTGTCTCCACACCAGGCGAGTGTGGAAAATACTGGCTTAAATATCAAAAGTGGGTGTAAAGTATACTGCTCATGAGTAAAATCTTGCAAAGAACAGACACAAAGACAGTTCTGAGGATGATGCATTCTAAGGGACGGTGTCTTGGTTACTTTTTTCTCGCTGCTGGGACAAAATACCTGATGCCCAAAATTAAGGAAGGAAAGGTTTATTTCGCTTACAGTTCGTGGAAGTATCAGTCCGTACTTGGCAGATTATAAGGCAGAGTGGAACATGGCAGAGAGCTGCAGCTCATGGCGACAGACACAGCTAAGCTGCAAGCACACACCAGGGCGGAATCGGGGAGGAGTGGCCTCAAGCACTCTTTTCCTCTCCCTTACACATGCAAACTATCCACCCCAGGGCGGGTGTAGCTCTCACACCCACAATCATTCAGCTCTAATAGCCTGCCCCATGGTCGCATGAGGCTTTGGAGGGGACACACAGACATAAGCCATAACAGAAGGGTCAGTGGTAATCACAAAACTTGGGAGATCACCTCTTTTTGAGAGTTTGGTGTTAAAGATGTTGGTTTGTAAGATGATACGTGGAGTGGCTGTCTCTGTTTGATGACATGCACCATTGAACAATTAGAAGACTGTTTTGGTTCTTCTAGGGAGGGTGGTTTTGTTTTTTGTGATACTAGGACTTGAACCCAGGGACACTCTATGGTTGAGCTGTATTCCCAGCCCCTTTTAACAATATTTTATTTTGAGACAGGGTCCTGCTAAGTTGTAAAGGTGGGACTTGAACTCTCAGTACTCCTGCCTTAACCTTCCTTAATGCTGGACTTACAGTTTTGAACCACCAGAAGGCTTGCATTTCTTCTGTAATAAAATATTTGAGGCAAAGATGAAAAAATATGTTATCAATGGGAAATTTACTGTGCTGATTTTATTCTGTAGCCGCTGATAAGAACTTTGGGTTTTTCCTCAGAACACCTTATTGGATGTAGGTTCTTGTGAAGTCAGAGGCAGACCTGCCTCTCTTCAGTGGCAAGTATTGTCTGATGTGGGCCCTTTTTGGTGATGGTCTGAGTAACTGTTCATTGCCTTTTTTCCCCAGTACTGAGGATTGAACCCAAGGGTGTTCTCCCACCAAGGTTTATCCTAACCCCTTTTTATTTGTAGTTTGAGACAGCATCATGCTAACTTGCCTAGGCTGAGCTTGTCACTTGCCTGTCTTAGCTTCCTCAATGGCTGGGGTTATAAGCATGTAATCTTTGATTTCTTTTAACTCAAGAATACTCATTAATCTGAAATAATTTGTGGTGCATTTGTAATTGGTGTCAATTACAGTAACAATGCAATAACTTGTAAATTTCATTTTATGCCTATGAATAGTGTCTAGGGTAGAATCTAAAGCTCTGAATGGTTAAGAATAGTATGTAAGATGACACTCTTTTCAGGTTTTTTTGAGACAGGGTCTCATTATGTAGTACAGGCTGGCCTGGAACTTACAGTGATCCACCTGCCTTTGCCTCCCAAGTTCTGGGATTACGGTGTGTGCCACCACGCGCAGCTAGGATGCCCTTTTTAGAAAAAATTCTTATGCATAAGCTTTTTATTTGGTTGTCACAAGTAAAGTAGTTTATGTACAAAAATAACTCAGGCATTTTAAATAGCCATGATTTTTTAGTTGTAAGTTATAAATTTATTTATGCTTACCTTAAAGAAAAAGGAATATACAATATTTGCACAAATGAAAAATTTGTGAATTTTTTGGTTTCAGTCATGGCTGCTTCATGTTAAATCATATTGTCCAAGGCCTGTCCCCCGTCTATGCCTCTGTTTTCCCTAACCTTGTTTTCCTCATCAACTACATTTTTTTTAGGGAGAGAATGGATTTCTACCAATCATATGTCTATCATTTATAAGTGGAAAGGAAGAAAAATTATTTATCTACTATTCATAAAAATGTCATGCTGGGCAGCAAAAATCTTTTTAGACCATGTATCCACTTTGTCTGACCTCTTAGTGAGAAGACATCACAGCCACAGGGTGACCATGGGCTCCTTAAAGGGAGGAATCTTGGACAAATACTGTACAGTCACTTCAGCATTGCACTCTTGGTAACTTTCTGTTTATGTTAGTCCAGCAGAGACTGGGCAGCTGTTTCCTTAAGCCTCCACCAGTCTTGTGTCCTTGGACCAGGCCTTGAGTGTGTATATATATATATTGCAGATATGCAACTCATGTTGTTGTGATATTTTATTAATTTAAAACCTCACTGAAAACACACAGAAACAATGAGTTTAGTATTTATGGTGACATGAAAGTCTATGATTTGTCATTAATTAATAACAAAAGAATTTATTTAAGAATTTTTATATCTTCTTTCTTTTGGTTACTTAATAGTCCTTTATTTTCTGAGTATGGATTTTAGGTAAAAATCATAAAAGTCTATGTCTTTTTTTTTTTTTGGTTTTTCTCCGGTACCAGGAACCGAACTCACGACCTTGCACTTGCCAGGCAGGCGCTTTTGCCGCTGAGCTAAATCCCCAGCCCCAAAAGTCTATGTCTTATTTGTTCCTTTTCTTTTTGTCCTTTTCATGGCCAAGTTCCTTACAAGACATGAGCAACATTCTCTGCCCTCACTTTGCTTACTGTTTACTGTTCAACCTGTTGTGATCCACTTCTGTTTCCTCCTCATCAGCGCCTTGTTACAGAGTCCACTGGACCTGTGTCATCACTACTTCATTTGACAGTGTTCTCCTTTATTGTTTGTACTGCCTCACCCTCGTGTCAGTTCTGAGTGCTGTAACAAAGAATGCTATAGACTGGATGCTTAAACAGATGGGAATGTTAGAATAAAGGTGCTGACCAACTCTGTGTCTGGTGAGCAACTACTTCCTGGAGTGCAAGTGACCATCTACTTGCTGTGTCTTGATATGACAGAGAGCTGAGAGGAAGAGGAAGCCGGCTGTCTCCTGTTTCTTACAAGGGTCATAGTCTCATTGTGAGGGTTCCACTGTCATTACCCAACCACCTCCCAAAGACTTCACTTCTTAATTCTATCCTGTTGGTATTGAGAGGTGCTACCTATGGATTTTGAAGTGTTGGGTAAGTGTGTCCATACACCTACATACACCCTGGGCTTTCTGACCATTGTACTCTGCAGATTTTTCAACCTCTATCATTACTGTTCTCTGTCTCTGTGTGTCTGTGTGTGTGTCCATCTGTCCCTTTTGACCTTCAAGTGTGTCCTGATGTACAGTTCTATTCATCTTTATCTTCACTGCACTTCTCCACAAAACATCTACTGAGAGCTCATGCTATTGTCATTTATATGTGAACAGCTTTGAGTTCTCTACAGTGTGGTTTAAAAGCATTTTTTCCCAGTTGCCTTGGCATTTCCCTGTGATAGCCTCATAGATATCTTACACCAAACATGTAAAAATTGGACTCCTTATCTCCCCTCAAGACTTGCTCGCTCTTCTCCTACTCCTGTATTCTCTGTCCCAGTGATGAACCATCCATATTGGCTGGCAGAAAGAAATGCCCTGACCCTCTGTTTTCTTTTTTCATATCCCACTAGGTCCTCTTGATTTCCACTTTTGGGTATCTTTGGGATCTATTAATGTTCTTTTTCCTCATTGCCACTTTTCAGTTGAAGCCACTTCATCCCTTTCTTCAATTACTGCAATATCTTTTAAAATTTTTAGTTTTATTAGTATGTTTGCAGTAAGTAATGGTTGTATTTATTGTGGGGAGTTTGTACATGTACACAACACATATTAATTCATTCTGTCTCTCTTACCGCCCTATGTCTGTCTGTCTGTCTGTTTAGACAAGGTCTTCCTGTGTTACTCAGGCTGACCTGGAATTAGCTTGTATAGCCCAGGCTGATGTCAAACTCAGGTGGTCCTCCTGCCTCAGCCTCCCAAGTGCTGGGATTACAGGCATGCACCACCATGCCCACCCTCAGTTGTTTTTTATGCTCTTTCCTTTCCCTCTTTTCTCTCTCCCTCTATCTCTTGGTCCCCTTCCCTTTTGCAAAGTGTTTATCTTTCCTGGTTTGTTTGTTTTTTTGGTACCAAGGATTAAACTTAGGGTCTTGTGCTTGCCAGGCAGGCACTGTGCTACTGAGCTACATCCCCTGTCCCTCGCTGTTTTATGTTATCTTTTATTTTGCTCTTTATATTTTGGGTTTCTCATATAAGAAAAATTATGAAAATTTTCTCATATAAGAAAATTACTTACCTTGGGTGTCTGATTTATTTCATTTAACATTATGGCCTCACTGTGCACCCATTTTCCTACAAATGACTCAAGCTTATCCTTCTGAATGGCAGAGTAGTGCTCCATTATGCATGAATATATATTTTCCTTACCAAATCATCTATGTAGGCTGCTTCCAAGATTTAGCTGTTAGGATTTGCACTATTGTAAACATGGGTATGCATGTGATACGATGTCTTGAACTCTTTCGGGAAGGGAAGATACCTGGAAGGGGAATGAATAGCTGGGTCACAAAGCCAGTTTTCGCTTTTTGAGAAATCTGCAAGCTGATTTCCATGGTGGTAGTACCAGTTTACATTCCCACCAAACAATGTAGAGGAATTCCTTTTTCCTTGGATGCATTTGTTATTAGTACTATGTTTGATTTCTTGATGATGACCATTCTTTGCAGAGGAAGATCTCAGTGTTATTTTAATTTGCATTTCTCTTTCAGCCAGAGAGCTTGAACATTTTTTCATGTATGTTATTGGCCATTTGTACTTCTGAGAAGGCTCTATTTACTTCAATTGCCCATTTTTTGATTGGGTCTTTTATTTTAGAAGGGGGCTCTAATTTTTTTTTTAGTTTTTCATGTATTCTAGGTATTAGTCCTCTGTCCAAGTATAGCTGGCAAAATCTTACCCATTCTGTAGGTTGTCCCTTCACTCTGTTGGCTGTTTTTTTTTTGCTGTGCACAAGCTTCTTAATCTGATATGATCCCATTTGTTGATTATTGGTGTTACTTCATATGCAATTGAGGTTCTGTAGAGAAAGTCCATGTTTATGCAGATGTCTTAAATTGGATTGATGATGTGGTATTTAAAGTATATCTCAATAAAATATTTAAATGAAAAATTCAAATTTGATTTAGTCCCATCTGACCCATTACTTACTCATATTATTATTTATGTGTTTGAATATATGATTTATTGTTTATCATGTCCACTAAATTGCAGGGTCTTGAGAACATTGTGGGTAGATGGGTATTACTGTAGCCATGGATGTAGTTCTTACAGCTTAGACAGAAAAAGAACGACATGACGTGAAATATATATAGGAAACTGCAGAATCAGAAGTAACATCCGTTGAGTTAAATGCCTGTAAAATCTTAATTATGCTAAATAGGTAGTGTGGAATGTGAATACAATGTGGTTTATTTGACATAATGTCAGAAGGGCCTCCAAAGGAGAAGATGCCTAAAGTGTAGAAAGAAAAAGAGTAATGACTATTTTAGTAACTGTGGTGCATTTAGTTCCTGGGAGTAAGTAATGTTCATGCAACTGCACTTCATAATTTAGGGAAAGTTTCAGCTGCAACTCATGGAACTAAAATACCTCAGGTTACTACAATAGGTATGTCTCCTAGTATTTGGCTGTTTTTATGGGCTGTGTATGCCATTGTGCTTTCCATACCTTTGTGTATGTAAATGATTTATTTATTGCAGGTTTCCGTCTGATTTCACTTGTAGATGAGTGAATTAACAAATTGAAGTTGTTAAAATAATGATTCAAAATAAATTCATCTGTATGTGTGCAGGGCCATGAAATGAAAAGCTGAACAGATATGTTGAACGGTAAATCTCAGGACATATGTTGAGAAAATGTACCTTGGGCAGTAATAGTCTAATTTCTTGCTTATTTGAATTGCTTATTGAACTTCCTTATTTATTTGTTATCATTAAAATACAAATGATATTAAGCATATAAATTAAGATGCTCTTTAATTCTGAGTAGCTAGTCTTTTGTCCAATTTTTTGGTTGGGGAAAGGTAACATGACTTTATAAAAACTTTATATCATGAACTTAAATGGTCTCCACAAATCCAGACTTTAGGTTGGATAGACCTTTAGAGACCATCCTATAGTGTGTAATAATTTTCCTTCTTAGAATTTTAGCAAGACATAGTCGGAAGGGGTTTGTATGTTTTTTTCTCTAAAGGAAAATTTAACTATGATATTAAAATAAAAGATACAAAATAAAATGTAAAGATTTAAAACAATTTAAGGTTTTATACTGTGGTACTGTAATATTACACTATAATTTTTATTCCCTAGGTTTTACCAATTCTTGAGATTTTGTATCATGTTGAAGAAAGAAATTCACACCATGTATATATGGCCCTTATAATATTGCTGATCCTTACAGAAGATGATGGCTTCAATAGGTCCATTCATGAAGTGGTAAATTACCATTATCTTGATTAAACCCTCCATAAGATTTATTATGGTCCTCTGTCATGTCCAGTTTTTGTTTGTGTCCATTCTGTTTCCTTGACACCCCATGTTACAGATCTACCATGGGAATGTCCCAGCCTAATAGAGTTCTTGCTTAGTGAGATCTAGAGGTGTGTTCCAAAGCCTTCTCAGTACAGCCATAGTGCGATACATGTGCCTCTTCTTGAAAGTTGTGCTCACTGCACTCCTGGCCTCTCCTAAACATCCACATGGAGGTTTTCTACTCTCTGTGGGGAAAGTTCTGTTTTTAAAGACGTACTTAGCAGGTGATCATGGTGGTGCATGCCTGTAATACCAGCACTCTGGGAGGCTGAGGCAGAAGGATTTGCTTTTGAATCCAGCCTACTCACTTAGTAAGACCCTGCCTCCAAATAAAATATAAAAAGGGGGTTGAGGATGTATCTTAGGGTGCAGGCCCTCCTCTGTTCAATCCCCCGTACTATATAAATGCACAAAAGAGATACCTGCTTTTTCTTTTTTTCAGACTTCAGAATACTTCATTACAAAATATAGTACGAGGCTGATAGACAATTTTCCAATGTCCTCTAATACATACACTGCCAATGAAGCACTGCAAAGTACCTGGCACTCCCCATAAAGCTTTTCTTATTTTCACTTTCAACTTGCTAACCTCTGATTTTTCTGTCAGTTTTTATCCTACTTGCCATAGCTCCTTCAGATAGAACTCCTTTTCATGTTTACTAATGATACCTCCATACCTTGGTTTTTTTTTGGTACCAGAAATTGAACTCTGGACCTTGAGCTTCCCAGACAGGCACTGTGCTGCTGAGCTATATCCCCGGCCCTATACCTTTTTTTCTATTTAAGAAGGAAAGAGAGCCAGGGATGTAGCTCAGGGCCATAGCACCTGCCAGGTAAGCATGAAGTCATGAGTTTGATTCCCTGTACCAAAAAATAAAAAATAAAAAGAAGGAAGGAAAAGTAAACACATTAGCATAGTTTGCTTACTGGGACTGAAAACCTCACAACTGAGTTTTATTTACTGCTTAATTTACCTGTAGAACAAAGTCATGGCTTCTCAAAATTTATAGATACAATTTTTTTTCCTTAAATCAGTCATTTTACTTAAATTTTTCTTCCCTGTTACAGATATTAAAAAATATTACTTGGTATTCAGAACGGGTTTTAACTGAAATTTCACTGGGGAGTCTCCTGATTCTGGTTGTAATAAGAACCATTCAATACAACATGACAAGGACGAGAGTAAGTTTCCACAGCTATTTTTCTATCTTTATGCAAACAGTATAATTAAAACTATCCTTTAAAGTAATCTCAGCTTTCAGGATGCTAATATTCTCATGAAAAATAATGGTAAAATACAGGTCAACATGTAGTCACTGTATTACATGATTATAGTGTAGCGTGTGGTTCTTAATACTTAATGATTGGATAATCAGAAATGTATATATGACATAGAAAACAAGCAGTGTGACACTTTTAGATCCACATTTATCATGTATCTTTGCTGAATTGACGACACACTGATTTGTCTTTTAAAAGCAGCAACAGCAAAGTATAAGAAGTAGTGATCACAGGAAAATATATTTTCGGATAGGAAAGAAAGGTAGAAGAGAGAGAATACTCGAAATAGTAAAAAGAAAGCCAGGGACAAGAGGTATGGCTCAGTGCTGGAGTACCTGCCTGGCATTTACAAGGCCCTGAGTTCCACCCCTACCATTGAGGGGGAAAAAAAAGAGTAAAAAAAAAGTATTTACTGTGTTCTATTTATATTCACTGAGAACAGTTTCAGTTCTGGTAATAGGGAAATGATGAACAGAATTGATGGCTAAATGGTCAAGTTTACTTCAATGTTTTTATTTTATGGGGCTAATGTAAATGTCCATATTTTATTTATCTGATATCCTAGGAGTTAAATGTTTTTTGTTTGTTTTTGAGACAGTGTTGCATTATGTTGTTCAAGCTGTCCTCAAACTCACTTTATAGCACAGGCAAGCCTCAAACTCACAACAGTCCTCCTTCCTCAGCCTCCTAAGTGCTGGGATTACAGGTGTATGCCACCACCCAGCCTAAATGTTTTAGAATGGAGAAATTTTGCATTTTTAAAAAGGTAATTATTGTGTGCATGCTATGTTATATGTAACCAGTAGGTCTTAAGCAGCGCACTGTAATTTTTTTGTCTTTTCTTCCGGTACCAGGTATTGAACTCACGACCTTACGCTTGCCAGGCAGGCGCTTTGCCGCTGAGCTAAATCCCCAGCCCCAGCACACTGTAATTAAATACTAACATTTTACAGCAAATTATTTCACTATTCACCATGCTGAGAACAATGGAGATCATCAAGAGCATTGTAATGTTTTGTGCCGTTCATTGCTTCAAATGAGTTGTGAAAAGACTTTAAAGACTCTCTGTGTTACAGATTTGGGAAGTAGAGAAAAGACATTGTGGGCTCAAACTATAAAATCAGTGACAATTGAGTTTGCATTTTCATCTAGTTTACCTTGCTTAAGATATAGAGAAGACTTGATATCTGTTTCAAACTTGCTGTTTTCTAACAGGACAAGTACCTTCACACAAATTGTTTGGCAGCTTTAGCAAATATGTCGGCACAGTTTCGTTCTCTCCATCAGTATGCTGCCCAGAGGATTATCAGGTAAATATGAGCTTTAAAGAAAATACGATTTTTGCCTTCTGCCTGACCTATTGAGAAAGACACCATGTCAGTCCTTTTTAATGATACATGCAAAAAATGCCAAATTTTCTTTAAAGAAAAAATGATTTTTGCCTTCTGCCTGACCTATTGAGAAAGACACCGTGTCAGTCCTTTTTAATGATACATGCAAAAAATGCCAAATTTTTCCACTGAATTTTTTTTATTTCCTTCCTATTTGGTTGAAAATATCTTCTATTTTATTTTCTAAACCAGTTTTTAAACAAAGTTAATCACTTGTATTTATTTATGGTGGCACTGGGGATTGAACCCAGAGCCTTCATACTGAGCTACATTCTTACTTCCCTCCTTTTTTTTTTTTTTTTGAGACAGGATCTCACTGAGTCTATACATTGCTCAGGCTAAGTTTTAACTTGGTATCCTCCTGTTTCAGGCTCTCAGAGTGCTGGGATTACAGACATGTGCCACTGTGCTCCACTTTCTTTAATTGTTTCATCTCGTTTTAGGTCCTGTGTGTTTTTCAACAGAGAAACAGATGCTTTTCTTAGTAATGAAAATGAAATCTTAAAATATTTCCTGAGCATTTTATAGAGCATCATACTATTAAAGAGTTATATTTGTTTTAGAAAATTCTTTCCTTCTCTTTTTTTCATGGCACCATAGTTTGAATCTAGGGCCTTATGTATGCTTAGAAAGTGCTCTACACTGAGCTGCAACCCCAGCGATGGCAGTTCTTTTCATAGCAATTTACTCTTGTATCAATTTTTGATTGTTGCCATAGGAAATCACCACAAATTAGTGGCTTAAAACAACATGAATTTGTTATCTTACAGTTCTGTAGATTAGAAGCGCAGCATAGGTCTTGCTAGGCTGAAATCAAGATCAACAGTGCTGCATTACTTTTTGGGTGCCCCAGAGGAGAATCTGTCCTCCTTTCTTTCTTGTCTTTAGAGCTGCCTTATTCCTTGGCTCTTGGTCCCTTCCTTATTTTCAAAGCTAGCTACTGTGTATTGTTGAGTCTCTCTTGTGCCCAGTCACTCTCCTCCTGTGGTTCCCTGTTCCACTTAGAGGACCCTTGTGATTGCCTTGGCCCTACCTGAGTAATCCAAGGTGATCTCCCCATCTCAGGTTCCTTAGCAGAATCACAACTGCAGAGTTCCTTTTGCGGAGTAAGCTACCATTCACAAATATGGAGTGTTAGGAAGTACACATTTCAGGGGTACCATATTCTGTCTGCCACAGCTGTCGGCATCAGAAACTTCCTTTTCTTTCCTTGTCAATGGTGTGATCTTTAAAGGTAAGAAAGCCCATCAACCAATCATGCATGATATCATTTACAGGGATTTTTAACATGTGGGAACTTTCCTGTCTTCTAGTAGGAGGCACAATATTGTCTTAGCAGACTGCAAGTTGAACATTTGTTGTCTAAGTTAGTGAAGACATCTTTTATTCTTTAACTCTTGCTTTTAGACTAAAACAGTTCTGGTTTTTTTTGTGTGTGTGTGGTTTTTTTTTTTTTTTTGCACATTTGTGCAGTACATATGGATCATATTCATCATGGGGCCAGTGCAGTTTTGATTACTAGTTTTGTTTCTCTGGTCATTGGTACCAATCCCAACCCCATATCACTTTCAAGCTTTGATCTCAGGTTCTGCCCAGCTGTTACTTGTTTATTGCCCTGTGTTCGTTTTTAATAATTATTCAAAATTATTGTTTGTTCTTTATTTATCTTCACAGTTCAGTAGAGGATATTTTGCATTGACTCACTACCAGTTGGGTTTGTGGAATAGGTTGTACTTGAGAGATTGTCTAGCTGACTAACATAAACTTATGATATAAAGTAGCAGTCTCTTCATATTCAGAGTCTCCTAGGTGTTGTGAAGAGATTTTAGTTTCCAAAAGCTAATCTTTGTCACTGTGCTATAGTTTAGCCTGATAGTACAATGATTTCTGTGCTGCTCTGTGGTCTTTTTCTATGTGTAGATGCGAAGTTTCACAATGGCTTCATGAGGATTTCTTAATAACATTAATTTTTCCTCAACTGATAGGTCCTGTTCAGTGTGAAAATGCCAGATGGATTGGTTCAGAATTGAAGTTCTGATAAAATGTACTAAGATTAAATAAAAAATTCTAAATGAAAGTGGTAGAAAAACTACAAGTGAAGCACTGTGCCCAGTTTTCTGTATTTGATGCCCAAAATAGAAAACAAATCAATCATACTGAGGAAATAAATGTAATTTAGTTTTTTATATGAGAATATTTAAATTAAGTTTATCAATAATGAATAGTGCTTTGCTTCATCATCTGAAGAACTACTTTAAGTCTTGCAGAGAATATCAAAAACAGTAATAAAGATTCTTGGCATCAAATAAGTTACAGTTCAGTAGTAGGGATAAAACAAAGATACTATCCTATATATAAGATACAAAGATCTTATGAACAGCAGAATGTGGTAAATAATATGATAAAATAAAAATTCCTATGATGAGGGTAAGAAATTGGTTCAGGGCTGGTATAAGAACACAGCACATTGAAAGATTAGACAAGGTGACTAGAGACTGGCCAGATGGGAAAAACATTCAACCACAGCCACCAAAACAAAACAAGAGAGGCTGTAGTGAGCAAGGATGGTTTATGAGTAGAAAACCACCAGTCCCATTTGGTTGACTTGTTGTGGTCCTGAAGAGGATTGTAGATGAAAAACCTGAAAGAACTAGGGTCTTACTTTGGAGGGGCTTAAGAGTTAGATTCAAAATTTAGTATAATGGAAGGAGGAGAAAGAAACGAAAGTCTGATCTTTAATAACAACAAAGAAGAAGAGGTAAGTGGATAAACTGTAAATGGGTTTTAAAGAAAATTTACGGTAGATTTCTAGTCATCCATGTCAGCAGATGATACTGGTGTTTCTGTTTGTCACACTGTGGGAACCCAGTTCTCACAAGTTTCCAAGTGCTGCCAGTACTTCTTGTCTGAGGACTTCATATGGGTAACAAGTGTGGACCTGAGCATCCATGTCATCCAGGAGAGATCTTGTTAGAAATACTGAGCGTAGGCCCAATTTAGACTGGTAAAAATCAGGACACTTACACAGTTTAGGGTATTATTTTTTCACAGCTGGTAAGTGGCTGGCCCTGGTTTGTACAGATCAAAAACCCATGCTCATCCACAGCATTGCCGTAGCCAGGTTGGCAGAATGTCACCTGCCTGGAAGCATGGATCCAAACTCTAAGGGGTTTTCTAAAGCAGATGGAGTCCTTAAATCCAGGGTAGCTATGCTCTTGTTCGTCATGTTGTTTGCTGCTCCCCACCCCTTAGTCTGGCTACCTTTCATTAGAGTAGTGAAGCTAGCGAAGTCTTTTTAAAAGTTTTTTTTTTTAAGCCAACTATTTGAGATAGGCGTGGGTGTGTTCAGCTGTTATGATACATGATGTATGGAAATTGTCCTAGGAAGTAAACATGAAAGGAAGCCAAGAACTTGTATCATTTAGCCTAGAACTTTCTTCTATTAAAATTTATTTTAATTCAGTAAATACTTAGCTTTTACTGTATGCCTACCACTGCTGAAGTTTTATTTGTGACTTACTACATTTTGATTTCAGACTAACACTATTTGTGATACGTATTTAGAAAGCAAGTGTTACAGTGGTTTTGTTTTTTTTTTTTTTGATAATTGAGTTTCCATCTCATTATCTGTTGTCATTTTAGTCAGGAAGTAGGGAGTTACCAGATACAAAGAATTGTGATGAATAGTTCAGCTCTGTCTTGAAATCTTAGTAAGTTATTTAACTTCTGTTTTCCATCTCTAAAATGAGATATGATACCTAGTTCATGTGTTGTGAGAATTCATAATGGGTTATAAAGCCTTTTGCTTCTCTATTCTCTTTATTATAGCATCATATTTTTTGAAATAATTTTTATCTAAAAATAGATTTGGATCATATCCCTACAAAAGAATTTCTTGGTTTCTTTTAATATTCCTAGGTTTTGATTCCCTGCCCAAGCAATAATCAAATTGTCTGTATTTCCCAAAAGGTAGAAAATGAAGGCCTCACTGAATGTAGATAGAGGTTTTTAATAATAATGTTTCTTTTAGATCAGTAGATATGAGCAGTGGCTGTAGTATAAGTTGTTCTTTTAAATGCATATGACTTCATTTTTAAGGGCATAATTAACTTGTTCCTGCCCAGTGCCTGGGCAGCGAACAGGTTCCAGTTTCTCCCTTGGTGTAGCCTTTGCTGATTCTTGTTTCATCTTGGCAGAGCATGAACCAAGAAAAGGAGGAGGAGTGTTTGCCTTCAAAACGCGGCTTCCTGTACTTCCTACAGCCAGTGTTACTTTAAAGGCAGCTATATTTTTGGGGGAAATCCCTCAGAGTTTTACTTTTTCAGTTTAGACATTTCTCAGGCAGTTACACTAAGAGCATTTAGATAGCTTGAAGTTGAAAACTTTTAAGTTCCTGATTGAGGATTTCTAACTATTCAGAGAATTGCTAGTGTTATACAATAGTGTCTTGGCAAACTTAAAGGGACATGTAAAAATTTCCTAAGTCATTTAATTACAGTTTAGATTTCTGGCACATCCAGACTGTCAGCTTTTAAAGAAGCATGCCATGCATTTATCCAATGATTTCTTGTAAGTAGAGATGTTTGTGGACAAAATTGCCATATGGGAAAGTAAACATTAAAAGGATTTGCATAGAGGTTTATAGAATGTCATATCATATTGTAGAGGTGAGTGTGTGGAGGGAGGTTGTTTATACTTTATCCTTTTAGATGTGTATTAAGCCTCCATTCCTGTCTACTGCTGTGAAAGATCTGAGATTTTTACTCTAATTTTAAGTTAACAAATTAGCCTTTCTCAGTTTTGTAGATCCTAGTAGGAGACTCAGTACTCCTGGGACAGAGACAAAAAGCAATTCATTACTATCTTTTTACTAAATATTTTGTTACAAATTATTACATTACTAGGAACCAGAATGTCTT